TACCAAAGCCAAAAGCTGTTAAGAGTACCAAAACGGTGTCGTTTTAGTTTGGGCTTTTGTAGGTTTAATGGGCTTATAGTATAATTACTGTGAGATAAACAGAGACTAACGCTTAAACCCAATTAATATCATCCACTAAAAACCGAATTCAAACCATACTATCTATAATAGTTTCGATTCTACATTTATAGACCACAAAACCGATCTGAAACTAAACCGAATTGAATCCCATAACTTCCTTAGAACAAATAAGAAATAAAAGCCCATTTCTCTGTTTTTTCCCCTGCTTCAGATCAACATCAAAGGAGTTGTGTTGATCAATGGTTTGTCACGTGCCAATATTTTAGCGTGAAACCCATTTTTCACATTTTCGTTCACAAAGCCAAATGTGTAAACATAAGCGAAGAGAGAGAGAGGGAATTCCTGTAGGGGAATGGATGTGGGTCTTGTGCGTATCGTTTAATAGTTTCGCACCTCTATCGTAAGAGTTAGAAAGAACTAAAATCGTCAGATGCAAAAAAATTCTTTAAAAGAGAAAAATAGCACATATCTCTGAGGTTTCGAAGTAATTAATTATCTATTCATGATATTTCATTAGACTCTGCATATGCTTCATCCCCAACCACCACCACCCTCATTAAACCTGATGAAACAAACAACGGAATATGAAATACCATGTCAATAACAACTATAAAAAAACTTTCAAAAAAAACAATGAAATGAAATAAAAAGTAAAGAAACACACAAGGCTATATATAAGAACTCGGGTCTTCTTTTGAAGAGATCAAAACCATAAGAATCAATTATAAAACATAAATCAATCAAAACCAGAACCTTATCCTTCTTTAAGACCATTCACTTAGTTTATCAACATATACAATCACATCGCATTTCTTCTCTAAAGCAAACAAGTATCTTTCCTGGATCTAACAGAAAATGTTGCAGCTCTAGAAACTGTAACTCAGTCCTAAACTTAAATCATACCAAGTAACAACATCTCATAGTTCATTTTACTTGTTTAGGAAGGTGTTTAGGAAGACTTTCCTAAACAAGTAAAAATATTTCCTAAACTATTTTTTTTAAAATTTTTTTACAAGTTTAGGGAGGCGTTTAGGAAGGTCTTCCTAAACAAGTGAAATTCCTTCCTAAACTAATTTTTAGGAAAGTTTTTTACAAGTTTAAAAAAGTGTTTATGAGGCTTTCCTAAATAAGTGAAAATCCTTCCTAAACTAATTTTTAGGAAGGTTTTTTACAAGTTTAGGACGGTGTTTAAGAAAACTTTCCTAAACAAGAAAAAATCTTTCTTAAATTTATTTTTTGGAAAGTTTTTTAAAAGTTTAGGAAGGTGTTTTCGAAGGCCTTCCTAAATAGGTGAAATTCCTTCATAAACTTATTTTTAGTAAGGTTTTTTACTTGTTTAGGAAGGTGTTTAGGAAGACATTCCTAAACAAGTGAAAATCTTTCTTAAACTTATGTTTTGGGAGATTTTTAACAAGTTTATGAAGGTGTTTAGGAAGGTCTTCCAAACAAGTGAGAATCCTCCCTAAGCTTATTTTTAATAAGGTTTTTTAATAAGGTCTTCCTAAACAAGTGAAATTCCTTCCTAAACAAGTGAAATTCCTTCCTAAACTAATTTTTAAGAATGTTTTTTTACAAATTTAAGAAGATGTTTAGGAAGGCCTTCCTAAACAAGTGAAATTTCTTCCTAAACTAATTTTTAGGAAGGTTTTTTACAAGTTTAGAAAAGTGTTTAGGAAGGTCTTCCTAAATAAGTGAAAATCCTTTATAAACTAATTTTTATGAAAGTTTTTTACAAGTTTAGGAAGGTGTTTAAGAAAACTTCCCTAAACAAGTGAAAATCTTTCTTAAATTTATTTTTTGGAAGGTTTTTTAAAAGTCTAGGAAGGTGTTTTGGGAAACTTTCTTAAATAGGTGAAAATCCTTCCTATACTTATTTTAGGATGATTTTTTACTTGTTTAGGAAGGTGTTTAGGAAGGTCTTCCTAAACAAGTGAAATTTCTTTCTAAACTTATTTTTAGGAAGGTTTTTTACAAGTTTAGAAAAAAGTTTTAGGAAGGTCTTCCTAGAAATGTGAAATTCTTCCTAAACTTATTTTTTGAAAGACTTTTACATGTTTAAGAAAGTGTATAGGAAGGCTTTCCTAAACAAGTGAAAATCCTTACTAAACTAATTTTAGGAAGGTTTTTTACAAGTTTAGGAAAGTGTTTAAGAAAGTATTACTAAACAACTAAAATCTTTCTCAAACTTGTTTTTTGAAAGTTTTTTAACAAGTTTAGGAATGTGTTTAGGAAGGTGTTTAGGAAGGCATTCCTAAACAAGTGAAATTTCTTTCCTAAACTGAATTTTAGGAATTTTTTTTACAAGATTAGGAAGGTGTTTCGGACGGCCTTCCTAAACCAGTGAAAATCCTTCCTAAACTAATTTTTAGGAAGGTTTTCTACAGGTTTAGGAAGGTGTTTAAGAAAACTTTCCTAAATCAGTGAATATATTTCTTAAACTTATTTTTTGGAAGGTTTTTTAAAAGTTTAGGAAGGTGTTTTAGAAGCTCCTCCTAAAGAGGTGAAAATCTTTCCTAAATTTATTTTTATGAAAATTTTTACTTGTTAAGGAAGGTGTTTTGCAAGACCTTCCTAAACAAGTGAAAATCCTTTTTAAATTTATTTTTAGGACGGTTTTTTACTAGTTTAGAAAAGGGGTTTAGGAAGACCTTTCTAAACAAGTGAAAATCATTCCTAAACTAATTTTTAGGAATGTTGTTTACAAGTTTAGGAATGTGTTTAGGAAGACATTCTTAAACAAGTGAAAATTCTTCCTAAACTAATTTTTAGGAAGATTTTTTACAAGTTTAGGAAGGTGTTTAAGAAAGTTTTCCTAAAGAAGTGAAAATCTTTTTTCAACTTATTTTTTGTAAGGTTTTTTAAAAGTTTAGGAAGGTGTTTTGGAAGGTCTTCTTAATCCTTCCTAAACTTATTTTTAGTAAGGTTTTTTACTTGTTTAGGAAGGTGTTTAGGAAGATGTTTAGGAAGGACTTCCTAAACTAATTTTTAGGAAGGTGTATAGATAAATTTATCAAGAATTGAATTGGTGTCGCAGCTCACGAGGCTAGGATTCATGGACTGCCGTTTCTACATCGAAACACCAGTGAAACGCTACGTGATGAATCTGCTCGAGAGGGAACTCGAACCGTAAGAAGAGTAATGTAGCATTTGTGTTTTGGC